AACGCTTATCCGCCTGCCTGCCACGTTCCGGTATGAGGAGTGAGCGTGCCCTAACCTCTAGGTCCATCTTGCCGTATCATTGTGCCACGTACTCGTCTCGGGGTAAGAGCAGTAGATGCATTTGAAAAATCATTTCCCTGTGGCCTGTGAACGGCAACCAATCTGATCTCATTTGTGTGATGTGGAAGTCTAAATCTACAATTTTGATATAGTTCAATTTTAATTTTTTCGCCCAACCTGCTCGTCGTTCTTGTGACGAACTTGCTTAAAGCCACGAGTCAGGATTAGGTGGTCATAGAAGGCCTTTCCATCACTAATATTTCCAGGAATGCGCTCAGAGGGGTGATGCCACACTCCTGACTCGAGATTGCGCGCCGTCAAGGCCTCTGGCCTACTACTTACAGCGATGGCTTCGTTGCATCAGCTAGTCCCGCCCACCGCGGGATGTGGTGCGTGGCTGGCATAACGTGTGAAATCAGCTAGGTTGATTGCCGTATCAACCGATGGAACGGCTGGCATATCCGGAAAACTCGTTTGGACGTGGCTCTCCCAAGCAAGCCTCCTTCACTGCTAGTGGGAAGGGGTTTCGTTTTCGGCCTTGTCGACGGTTTTTTTCGTTTTTTCTCCACTGTCGTTCCACTTCGCATCTCTATACTCAGTTTCAATCGCCATAATACCCCTTATTGAGCCCGACTTTTGCCTTTAAGGGAGCGCGTTCTACGATAAAGCGCAAGAGAACGATCAGCAATCTTTAGATGCTTGGGATTTCTCACAAATTTAAATGCGGATTTTAAGATGAAAAGGCAGCTGTTGGAAATAAGAGTAGAGGATGGTCAGTGGAAGCAGGGATGAAGAAAAAATTTGAAACGGCCCAGAACCCGAGAAATGGGACCCCTTCCTTGCCCGTTGATTTCCGCATTGATGCGACTCTCATCGCTGTGCCCTCTTCAACACTAACGCTCTCTCTGCTATCTAATCACTCGCCACGTATAGACCTGCGGCGAGTGATTAGATAGTCGGTGGGCGTTCCGGGCCAACTGCGCCAAGAGAAGGCCATGCCAGATCCGGGGGCATTTGCTTTGATGCGAATTGCGAGTTTGTCCGTCTCATCCTGCAATCATCCTTCAAGTTCATGGAGCGAATCCCCTGTCAGACCTTTGCTCATATTAATAAGAATGCGGGTCACGCCCCTGGCAACCGCGCTTACGACCCCCCCCCCATCCTTCCGTAGACCAAAACGATCCCTTTGTTGGTAAATCACCAACAGGTGGTTGACCCTGGTCCCACTGCATTTCTCAATTTTCGAGAATTACTCACCTAAACATTGGATTCGAGCTGTACCATAGAAGCAATAACGATCCCCACGAAAAAACAACATGACAACCATTCCAGAACTTGAGCACGGGAATGTTTGAGAGCAAAGCCTTAAGCAGACAAGAATGATTGTGTGCATTAATGAAAGACTCTATAAGAAAAGAACAAACCCTTCTTTGGACGAAGATGGAGTAGAATGATTCCAGCGTCTCTTTGGCATGAAGACTGCAAAGAAAATACGCAAGGAATAAGGACCTTGACGCAAGAGCGACGTCGATAATCTATGTAATTTGTGAAGAGAATCACCTCGATCGAGAAGAAGATGTTCAGTTTGATATTTATTCAAATACAACATTAAGAATAGCGCAAAATCACAGAGAAAAGAGATCACGTCTGAGAATTGTACTACATTTATTTACACCGTCATCAAGCAGCCAGTCAGCGGAAAATAATCCAACGAGCTACTAATTCGCTAAGTATGCACGTCCGTTGTATGCTAAGTATGTCTGTCTGTTTGTGTGTGTGTGCGCGTCCCCTTGTCACGAAATTCATTGCGCGCTTCGCTGCAGCCATGGAGCGCTGTAATTTTAGTATGATGTAGGGGCCAGGACGGGAACATATTTTGGGGGTCAAAAAGTGATAGCGACTGATAAGAGCTGATAGAGGCGCTAGAAAACAAATTTCACGAAATTCATAGCGCACGTCCAGCACATGGGCGTTGGTTCCGACAAGTGATGTGGAGGATGAACAGGAATCATATATGGTGGAGCAGAAAGTGATAAGAGCTGATAAGGCTGATAAGAGGCGCTGAAACGCAAATTTCACGAAATTTACTGGGCGTCCCAGCAGCAGTGAGGCGTTGGTTTCAAGAAGTGATGTACAGGGTGGGACGGGAACATATTTGGTGGGGGTCAGAAAGTGATAACGACTGATAAGAGCTGATAAGAGGCGCTGAAACGCAAATTTCACGAAATTCATAGTGCGCGTCCCAGCAGCAGTGGGGCGTTGGTTCCAAGAAGTGATGTACAGGGTGGGACGGGAACATATTTGGTGGGGACAGAAAGTGATAACGACTGATAAGAGCTGATAAGAGGCGCTGAAACGCAAATTTCACGAAATTCATAGCTGGCGTCCCAGCAGCAGTGGGGCGTTGGTTCCAAGAAGTGATGTACAGGGTGGGACGGGAACATATTTGGTGGGGACAGAAAGTGATAACGACTGATAAGAGCTGATAAGAGGCGCTAGAACGCAAATTTCACGAAATTCATAGCGCGCGTCCCAGCAGCAGTGGGGCGTTGGTTCCAAGAAGTGATGTAGAGGGTGGGACGGGAACATATTTGGTGGGGACAGAAAGTGATAACGGCTGATAAGGGCTGATAAGAGGCGCTGAAACGCAAATTTCACGAAATTCATAGCGCGTGTCCCAGCAGCAGTGAGGCGTTGGTTTCGAAAGTGATGTAGAGGGTGGGACGGGAACATATTTGGTGGGGACAGAAAGTGATAACGGCAGATAAGGATTAATAACAACGATATGCGTAAGAACATAAAAGATCGCTCAGAACAGATTTATGTTACGCATTTCAGTTTGGTACCATTTAATTTGCGTGTCATCCTTCGGTCCAAAATACCATTTGGCCGCTACATTCCCCAGAATTCCTAAAAATGTACGATGGATGTTTGAAAAACATGATAATGAGTACTGGGTATTTCCATTTCAACATCATTAGCATCAAATATTATTCGACCGCTAAATTATTCTGACATTCGATGCATGGTGGTTGTTTACAGACATCACTTTAGCTCCACCGCGCGTATCAAGCGGACAGTCAGCTAACGCGCTTTCGAACAACTTATTTCTTACCGGTGGGACCAAACGCTGCATGACTATCCAGTTTTACCAAAGAATCCGGTGTCATGCGCGCGATAGTGTATAATAATGGGCCATGACCGTAGAACCGATTTCACTGATGTAAGCAAGGTCTCTCGTGCTTGCTCATGATGATTGACTCATCCGCGATATCGTCATCGACAATTGACCATACATACATATATCTGCTTCCCGCTCGACGGAGTGCATAGAAAATACAGCCTTCAGCTGTGGTCCTTCCTCTTCCCCTACAGCGAAACTTATAAAATGCTTGAAGGCGGATTTTACGACGAAAAAGCGCTTAGCACAAAGAAGGGCAGAGGTGGTCAGTGAGCAGGGCTGAAGAAAAAAATCATGTGAAACAGCCACCTGAGAAATGGAACCCCTTCCTTGCCCGTTGATTTCCGCATTGGCGCGACTCATCGTCTGTCCACGTCAACGCCACACACACTCTCTCTCTGCTAAACGGCTAGATGTTCAGGAGAGGGAGATGTACCGCGCCGATAGCGGCGTGGGGAGGGCCATGCTAGATCGCTGGGGACATGTCCTCCACTGCAAATTGCGTCGTTCCGCACTCTTAGGGGGCTGCCTATCTTCCCATCTGGTCCGCCTTTCTTCGTGGTAACTTTTCCGTTCTTGCACCATCGATTTATCTTTAATCCCGCTTTGAAAGAAGCGTCGCGTTGGCTCAAGGCGGAGATGTGTTCCACGTGTTATAAACCGAAGGACGAGATAGAGTTGAGTTGGACGAGCGTAACCCCACGGAAGATACGATAAGTTAAGAAGATACACGTGCCTGACACATAATTCAGAATGAAAATTGGAATAACAATAACGGGAAGCACGCCACCACTGCAACACCTTCCACGTCCAATGCGTAGGTGGTGCTGTGCCTCGGAAGTGGGTTCCTGCGCCTTACCACGCTACTGGTATGGTGCCCCTTTCCCGCAAAAGTGTCAACTCATTGGGCAGGTTTACTAAACAATCCACTGGGTAAGTTACTCATTCCTTCCATGGGATTTATCGCGATCACCTTCTTCAATCGGCAATCGACGGTAGATTTGAAAGAGCTTCGACTATTTGAGGAAACGAAGGTCGTAAGTGTCGATCCTTGTCCGCACACTTCAATCCCAGATACATGACCCCATCACACCATGCTACAACAACGCCTGAACAGTTATTTTTCTTTAATGCAAAAATCGTACGGAACATCGAATGGTGGAAAATGAACCTTGATTTCTAACACATGGGGTGCGTTTATCCATTAGAGCTTCAACCCAAGCAAGAGACGAACGTTCCGGTGTACATTTCCGTGCATCTCTAGCACTAATGCAGTATTCGGCAAGACTTGGAGGTACTCGTGAATCCATGAAAGCTCTCATTCCTAATTGAGGGATAATAATTAAGGTGACTTGAAGGGTTGCGAATGGATCTATGATACCTGTGCATATCTCTAGAAGAACAATGCCGAAGCTGTACACATCCAGCTTTGTTGAGAGTATCTTATTTGTAATGAATTCAGGTGGAAGGTAGGCGAGGGTTCCCTTCACATGGGACGCTATCAGTGGAGACTTTTCGTCAGCATCTGCTTCAACCTCAAAAACAAAAAGATCAAAAAAAATCATGTTGTATCAGTGAACAGCAGCATTCTTCAACGTATTTGATAGATAACTACATGCAAAATTTTAGTTACTAATATCGTCTTTTTTCGAATGGAAGATTCTACACAAAAGATGAAAAAATACCTTTCCATCACGGCTTAACC